AACTATACCCATCTTTTAAAGAATTGTAGAATTCAAATGAATTCATTTGTTCTACTAATTTCAGATTCCCCAATGGTTGATCTAGAGGTAAGTTAAAACAACATACGTCAAGTCATTCGACTATCTAACATGTAATATCTACAAAATAAAATAATGAGGGACACTAAGTTGTGAAATTTTAGACAATTTATGGCCATCATAATAAAGGAAGCTTAATTGACTAGCTTTTTCACATGTGGCCTCTCCATCTCTTTTCTATCATTCTTCATATATATTTTTAGATCTCATAATCTTATTGAATGTAATCCAAATGATAAATGATGATTGGTGAAAACTATTAAATTGTGTAGCTGTTAAAACTATATTCAGATATTAATAAAAGTTCTAAAGCTGGTAGAGAGGCATACATAATACATACAGAGCACATGGGCAATTTTCACTTTAAAATTGAGACTATCATAGAAGAAGGTGATCAATCACATGTTGTATAATGTAAGCACCTTCTGAATGCAGACTCTCAACTTTTGTATGCAAATTAGACAAATCAAAATTGTTGACTTTCAGAGTTTCACATTCAAATACAGAAAATTGCATATCACAAAAATTGATTTAAGATATAGCATACTTTTTAATATGCAATGCTATTAGAATGCCTAGCACTAAAGTAGTCACTATAATTGAGGTAGAACAACGAGGCAGGTTCATTTGAATTTCCTATGAATTCGATGTATCAAAAAATGGAAAAAACTTTGCGTATTTATCAGGAAGAACAAATTTCAAATCCCTAGATTTTAGTAATTGACATTTCAGAAAACAACAATTTACTAATTGAACAAGAATGGTAAATTAATAACTCGATCTGAAGTTTTTCTATTTTAACAAAATATGGAATATAATTTTACCTACCTGAGTAGTGAGTCAGAAAGACAGATTCGTAGATCTTTTCAAGCCTCCAGGTGCGGCAGATGGTTGACGAGCAGCACTCTGTGCGGTAGCCGGTGGTGGCTCGCGGAGGTAAGGCGGACGCTGGTAGCTACAGCAGGGTCGTTGTTGATGATTGAAGGCGTGTTGCCTCCATCGAAGTCAAAGCAGCACGTGAATGCCGAAATCACCGGGTGAGAGTTACATGTTTTATTTGAGGCTGTAAACTAATTTTGAAATAATAAAAAAAGTTAAAACACTAAGGCTGAAAAGATGGAAGTCGGAGAATGAAAGACAAATACTTATGTCACATAAATGAAATGTGGTATCAAAAGGGAAACTAAACGGGTAATTACCACTATGTTTTATTCACTTGGGACGACAGTTTTTTAAGGATAATTTGGACATCTATATTGAATTAGGTTTATCAAAATAGGATTAACACATTAAGATTCAATAACTTAAATTAGCTTATGAGTTCCTAATTTATTGAAAAAAATATGTACAATAAATTCAAAAGTGGTCCAATTTCATAAAAGAATGGTCAAAAAAATTATACCCCCGCATAAACCCTTGTACAATATTTCTGGGCTTCTTGCTGTATGTGTCAAAACTTGAGGTTATAACCTCTCGGAAAAATAGTTGCATATGGTATGATTCAGTTTGCAAGAATGGTGTTCGCGTAAATGCACGATCTGGGCCACAGCCTCTTTGAGGCCGACGTGGCAATAGCTTCTAGGGCCTATCTTTGAAATGGCCCATTGTTTTTCAATGATAAGGGGCCCATAGTTTTTACAAAAGAGCTTATATGCAAAAAAAAGCAGTTTTATAAAATTTAACAGTTAAGACATAAACCCATAAACAAAATTTCAAAGTTACAATAAAAAAAATCAGCAATTTTAGTTGAGATGTGTTAAATTATTCTGATTAGTCATACTTCATATATGTTTTGTCATAAAAGGTGTTAGATGTGTATTTATTTTGATTGAAAAATAATTTAAATATTCCGAACTTTTGCGGGATGTGAGCTAAACACTCAAACTTGAATAACTAATAAAAGTACCCCGAACTTTATATAAAAAAATTATCTTAGCATCATGATCATAAGCTTTTCTTTCACACATGTAATTTTATAGTGTTAAGTAAATAATTTAAATATTTGAAGTATTTTTTAGTGTGAAATTAACATTATAAACTTATTTGTTAATGTCATTTATTTAAAATATTGAAGCTTAGATAATAATTTCATCATTACAAATGCCCGAAGTATCTAAAATTTTATATTTTAATACTATAAACTTACATTTGTGAAATAAATAACATATTATTATGGTTTTAAGATACATTTTATACAGAGTATAAACTTTTGAGTGTTTTTTATTACATATACAAATTTGAAATGCTTGTCTATCATTTTTTAAAAGTTTGGGGTATTTAAAATGTTTTCTCCTTAGATTGAAGCTCTCACATATACTAAGGGTAAATTATACCGTACACCCGATTGTACGGTGCTCACCATACAACCATGTAGTTTTGCAATTAATCACAAATCTGGTGGTAAAGATTAGGGATGGAGAAGTTTGCTCGGCGCACATTGATGTCTTGGGAATCGATGGAGGAGGCGTTGATAACTTCTGTGCTCGCTTGCTGAATTCCTGGGGTTGGTGAAGGAGGTGTCGCTCTTGGGAGTCGGATGAAGGAGAATCGTGCACGTTGTGGCTTAAGTTCTCAAATTTTAGGAGGATCAATTTCAACTTTGTATTTTAATATTATACGAGTATTTTTTTAATATTGTGTTAATATTTTTCAAAATATTTCGGTGCTCATTTCGTAATTTATGTGTGCTCATTTGAAATTGGTGTAATACTCATTTTAAAATGACATATTCATGCATCTTTCAAATATATTATACTACATTAGATTCACATTAAAAATGAGTTTTATGTTAAACTCAAATGAGTGAAACGCCCAAAACGAATGCGCGCACACAAATGAGCTTTTAATTTTTTGATACTCATTTTGAAAGTTATGTGTGCTCATTTGATAATGATTTATGCACATTTTAAAAGGTTGCACATTTCAAACAAATCATACTATATTGAAATTGATTATAGACATAACTTCACTTTTTAATAAATAAAAAAAATAATAAACAAAAAGTGATATATAGGGTATGAAGCAGAGATCACTGATGCTCACTGTTGCTCCTAATACTCAAAAGAACATGTTTGATACTCATCAAAATTTCATATATGCTCATTTAAGGGAATCCGCGATTTTTACAAAAATTACAAATTTGCCACCGGCTGTACAGTGATCAATGTACAGTCGGTTGTACAGTGTACCGACTCTATACTAAGATTACTAACTTGCTAAAGTGTTTGGATGAAGAAGGTAACTTACTGATATGATATGTCCATTTATAGTTAGTCGCTTCATAATATTTTATACGTAGTATAAAAATGTATTAAAATGCAAGAATTGAAGTTACAAATTACATTATATACCAACTAATAATTAGATATATAAAGGATCCAAAATTTCATTTTCTGCTTCAAGTCATTTACGTTAGGTTGTTCTGCGTGATATGAACAGGGGCGGGTCTGCCGGGGGGCAGGGGGCGGTACCCTGCTTCGGCCATCGAGCTAGGGTATAGGTTCGGTGGCAACCGGACTAGTCTGTAGAAGTTTTCCGGCGAGGTGGAGAGTTATTTCACGTTTGCCGGCGGACAAGGAAGAACGGTGGTTTGCTGGAGACTTATTTTTTTGTTCTAAATGCTACGACGTCGTTGGGCACTTGGATAAGGCTAAGTAAAAAAAAAAGGGACGATGGGCCAACTGGCCGAGGAAGGCTCAATTGCCTAGCAGCCTCCAGGCTGCAGCCCAAGGCCCCAAACCAAGGTCAAGCCAATTAGCTTAGCCAACAATCAGCGCCCAGTAAAGGTCATACGGAGTTACGCTGTTAGGGAGATGAACAGGTCAGCCCCTGGCCCGAGCAACAACCACCGAAGCAGCAGTGAGCCACGCCGCCACACCGAATCGCTAGCTCGTTGACCGTCGTGCTTCCGTAGCCCAGTCTCGTCCTGCCTTCCTCCCTCCATCGTCCGCCGATGATTGTGCCCCCCCCCCCCCTCCCCCCGCTTTAATTATTTTCTAGTTCCGCCACTGGATATGAAGTGAGTTTATTTGAGCTCCACCATAATTGCTGGGTCTATTTGGTTTATATTGCGATTGATAATTTTCTCCTAGAATTATTTTAGCAAATTTTTATTCTGACAAAGTGAAAACAACTTTCATCTGTGATGTTATAATAGTCTCATCTTTTGCTTTTCAAGGATATTTAACCCTTCTAATCCTCTTCCAATAACAAACATGTTTTAGGATGTTTTTACTTGGACTGTAATTTGCTGGTTTGGTCTGGTCTGGTTTCTTTGTATTTTTATAATTATCCAAGTCTGATTTGATTTGAACTAGTTTGATCTGATTTGATCTGGTCAAATAAAAACATCCTTAGAGTATACCCGTTTTAACAAATAATCAATTCAACAAGGAGACATTAATATATTGACTAATACTTTGTTTTAAAAGAGTTGGGCAAAGATTGGATTATTATCAAGAAAAGGAAATGTTAAAGTACTATTTAGAAGCACAAAAAGGTTGAATTTATGGTTTTTGAGAATCAAAATTTCTTTAAAGTCGAGGACTAAAATGTCTTTCGCACAATAGTCGATGATTAAAGATGCAAAAATTGAAAGTCGAGTACCAAAGGTATCACTGAACACAATAGTGAGTGAATTGAAATTGGAAAAAACTGAAGACCAAATTTATGGATTAAAATTTATAATATGTAGCAATGATCCAGCCACATGAACAATGATGTTATAAAAATTTATTTGTAATAAAAGCGATAACCACACAAATGAAATTTTGTTTTCAAGAATATTTGTATACAAAGAACGTAAATTAATAAGAGCATTCACCTCGTGCAACGCACAAGTGAAAATACTAGTTAATAGTTATCAATAAAAGGAAATGTTAAAGTATTATTTAGAAGCAAGAAAAAAGTTGAATTTATGGTTGTTGAGAACCAAAATTTCTTTTTGTTCAATCTCTTCTTTCGAATATACTCCAAATTTACTGCATTTTTCCTCTGTGATTTGATTCAGCATCTAAGATCTGCTCAGTTCATGTTTCTATATTTCAATCTTAATTACATTTATACTATGTATACAAAGAGATACAATCACACTCCAGTGTTATAAATTGGTGAAAAAATGACACTAATAAGCACAACTATGTACAAAGCATGTGCTAATGTATCTCGTTTACGTCTAGCTTGGCCCAGTAGTCACCGATCCATCACTCATGGCAAAGCTAGCCCGCACGGACAAGAATACTAAGTACAAAGTCATAAGCCCCAATCCTAAAAATCTGGTGGGGCGCATATCGTTTCTTGGCAGCACAATGAGGGCAAATACCAGAGCCATCATCAAAAACCCCAACGTGTAATACAAGCTCGTATCTTTAGGTATCTTGTAAGCAGTGGAACCACCAGAGCACGCCCCAATCACCAAAGATATGCCCAATCCCACGAGGGTGTTGAACATTGGCCCTGCATAGCATCCCGACATTGCGATCTGGACCCCGTCACCACTTTTCATTGCCATCGCCACATTAGATATTAGGTCGCCTAACGAGTTTCCCCATGCGAGTACTGTCAGTGCAAGGAGTGACGGATTGATCCCGAATATGATCCCAAAGGCGACAAGAAGTGCCACAAGTTCATTTGCAAGAATGTAGAACCAAACTATGCTCATCAAGAAACCACCCAAGATCCATGGGAATAAGAACGTTCCTGGTGGATTTCCAGGCTTTGTGTATATAAATGCAAGAATGCCTAAAACACCCCCAATGACAAAACCAATGATGTAGACGATATTTCCCTCAAGACACCCGAGGTTATCATCTCGAGTGTTCCAAAGGATTGCAAGAAGCATAGGAGCCAAAGAGGAACTCGCCACGGCATACGTCTTGGACCACCGATGCTCATCCACTATAGGAATGGTTAAACGCCTAGGGAGCAACAACGGGAGCTCTAGAATCTTTAGCAACTTGGAACACGAGGAGGAAGGTGACCCGTCACTGGAAGCAATAACATTCTCCGCATTCCAACCCCACAAAGACTCTTGCCTATTCTCAGGGCCTACCACCTTCATTGTCTCATTGGAAAACACACTTACATTTGAAGCCCACAATGCATTAGGAAGCTTTGCAGAATCAGAATCAGAATCAAGACATATAGAGTTCTCATGTTTGAGAGGTAAAAGAGGAGCAACGGAATCAAACTTTAATCTCCAAGCATAACTTCTCAATAACTCATTAGCTGCAACACAAAGGGCATACACCGGATAAATCAAGAGAAACCCGATCGCGCCACCTATGCTCACCTCACCAAGAACCAATATCAATAGAAGAGACAAAGTTGCAAACAAGAAGAAACAAGCATCTCGGATAAAACACCTCTTGTCAATCCGAACGCCTTGTTCTGCAACACACAAAGACACGGTCCCGACAACAACTGAGGTGACGAAAACAGCACCACCAAGAACACCATTGAATCCAACACCACCTGAATCTGTACCCAAGAAAGCAGCCACACTGGAAAATACATCAGGCGCCCCATTTCCTAAAGGAAGAAGAGTTACCCCTGCTAGAGTGGGGGATAACCCTAACAAATTCGAGAGCTTTTCAAGACATGAGCAGAAGTAATCTGCAGCAGTGTTGCCTAGTAAGTAGAACAAAGTAACTAGCCATATTCCCAGAATTAAATGTCTCAAAGCAGTGTACTTTTCAAGATCACAGTAAAAGAACTTGATGTAGTTGAAAAATCCACCCGAATTGCAATCGGAGTTCTCCCTCAAATATTCACACTTGGAATTATATCCCTGGTGCTCATCAATTCCAGTGCAAATTGTCCCAGAAATCCCCTCTTTCTCATAAATCCTCCTCCGAAGAACCTCTCCCTCAATACCATTCTTTCCGAAAAGAACAAGAAAGGGCTTTCTTGAAACAGGATTTTGAAAAGTATTTCGGTGAAATATCAAGATAATAAATGCTAATGCTCCGATGCCACGGAAGACTACAAGAAATTTCCACCTCTTCTTAAAGTAAAGCCTATTCAACGGCTCCATTTTCTTCTTCTTCTGTCTGACTATGGTTGAACTAGAAAATGACCATGTTGTCAAGATTCAACCATGTTGTCTCATAAAAGCTAAATGGAGTAGCAATTTTAAGTACCGAGCATGAGATCTTGGAATAGATTGATTATGAAGCAATTATTGATGATTTCGCTTCACGATATTCTGCGAGAAATGTTTTTATGAAATATTTGTTAGTGATATACACATGATGTTGCTTTTACCCAAATATGTAATTTAAATCATAATAAAGTGAATTTCATACTCCAACCGACCCAAATTGATTTGCAAATTTAACTTTTTTGGGTCAAACAGTTTCATTTTAATCACTTGATTAGGTTATTAGTTCTTGATTAAATTTTCATTTGAATTTTCCAACTTTATAGATAAATGAACTATTTATCAATGGAGAGAATTTAACTTTAACATTGATTGATCTAAAAATGTTAACTTTGCAAAACAAATTGGAACACAGGTAGGATTTTTATAACTTTTATTAGATAGCTTTTTATAATTCTTATTTTAAGTATAATTTACCGTCTGATAATAAGTCAAAGATATTATGTCACCCATAGGCCTAAAGTAGACAGGATCGGCCCTAGTCTAAACATGAAACATTAAATTAATTCAAGATAGAGGGCATAACTAATACTATAAAATATTCATTAAGCATATATTCCCTCCGTTCTCCGATACAAGTCTCTCTTTCTATTTTGAGTTGTTCTTTAATATTTGTCTCCCTTTCCATTTTTAGAAAGTCTTTTCAATAAATATACTTATATATCCTCATTCTCTTTCCTACTTTTTCATTCTCTTTTCTAGTTTTTCCTTTAAACACAACCTACTACACCGTTTACGCTACCCCTTATTATTTCCCTCTTAAAACTTGTGCCAAATCCTATAAGGCTGATTGCAATGGAGGGGTGAAAACCCTAAATGTGAGATTTTCACCCCAAAAACTGCTGCAACCTAGACACTTTTTTGTACAGAGAGGTCTAATAGCTAATAGGGAAAAATGAGGGAGGGATTTAGAGCACCCACTATGGTGGGTTAAGTTGGATCAAAAAGCAAAAATGATTGGAGTTGACCCCCACTATGGTAGCTCAAAAAGTGATTGGTCAAGTTGCTAGCTCACATATGGAATCTGACAATTTTGTTTTCAATTTAGTCAAGTGGCTTGTTTTGTCCTTTAAAGTAAGCGTACGAGTGGAGCAAATGCAAGAGTGGAGGAATTCTCCTCCCAATTTTTTAACCACAAATCCCACCAACTTTTAATTTAATATTTTATGCACTAAATTAATTTATTTTAACAAAAAATATCATACCAAAAAATCAGATTTTTTCCTTCTATAAATAGACACCAATGAAGGATATGTTTAGTCACTTCGAAATTTACCACTTCTTTCCCTCTTGCATCTGATTTTATTTGTTTTAGAATTTTTTTCTCCCTGAAAATGGATCCAAACCGTTCTCCCCTCCATACTACACCAACTGACCCCCATTTCAAAGAATTCCTCATTCTGCACAACAATCTTCTGTAAGAAATTTTCAAATTGATCCTTCTCATCAGAATTTTGCAATGGCTATGCAATTATTGCAAAATAATTCTAATTCTGTAGAATATTCTCATGCTACTGGTTCATTAAATAATGGACCCATGTTTACTCCAAAAATAAACTATTTTCCACAAGATCTGAATCCTTTTTCTACTCAACAGAGTTTTTTTTCTCCTCCACTACCACAAAACTTCAACGTTATGCCTCACATGAACTTCAACCATGATCCTTCAATGTTTGCTCGTGAGGCAAGTCGTGAAAATGTGACTTCTGTTAATCTTGGAGATGAGGAGGACGAAGTTGAGGCAAACACAGAGTTAGTCTCATCACCGAGCAAGAGTACAAAGAAAAAAGATGGATGAGGTAGTATTTTGGATTATGTTGTTAATTTTTTTAACGATTAGAATATATGAATAATTACATGTAAGACCATTATTAAATAAATTGTAAAATAATATTATGCGTCAAATATGAATTATGGGTGTAACAATTTTTTTAAAACACTTTTTTATTTATGCACAATAAATAATTATTGTGGGTCAAATGTGGATTTTGTATTACTTTTTTCAAATTAAATAAATTAATAAAGGTGCGATATATAAAAAATAAGGAGAGAGTGTGTAAAAATTTTAAGTGACCTAGGTCACCATAGTGGGAGAAAAAGTGATAGATTAGAAGGGATTAAGTTTTTGAAGGGAAGTGATGTGGAAGAGAGAGGATGACTCCTTCGAGCTGACATGCGCAGAGGAGAGGGAGGAGATAGTCGCAGGTTAAGAAAATGTGAGGAGTCCACATTAAATTAAAATCCCAATTTTGTTAAAAAATGGTGTAACTTTTTTATTTGAAATCCAACTTTTTTATATAATATATCAAAATTCATAATTTTTTACGACCTTTCATATGACATCAATATGTCATATATAAAGTTTCTTAAAAAATATGAAGTTTTATATGATGGAGTGATTTTCAGGCCTAAATTGTTTTAAGATTTCATTGTTAAAATATTTTTTTACATCTCTCAATTATTATTTTTAAAAATAGATCTCATGGTTAAATTTTACTCCAAATTTATTTATTTTTACATCGGAATGTTTGATATTTTAAATCATAATTATTTGTAAAAATAGAATTTGCGAAAAAAATTATGTGTAATAATAAAAGTAAGGATTTAACTAAAAAAGAATGTGTAGAGTGAATACGTATAAACTGGTGTTAGATTATAATATCAAAAAAATTCATCAAAAAATAAGATGCTCAAAAAATTTCATCGACAAATTTCACCTGGAACCGCCCCAAATGATGAAGGCCGAACAGAGCTCCTATATAAGTTCAAAAGCATATCTAACCCTTTTCCCTAGATTTATTGACGGGATGAGTTGCGGTTAGAACGAGAGAGTATTGTTTGTTTAAATGGCGATTTTTTAAACAAGTTAGATACAACTAATTGTTAGAAAAAACTATTTATAAACTATACTTCCTATCTACGGAAAAGAATGCAACATACCAACGAGCACGGAGATTAAAAAACTCAGTCATAGACATTTTCTTCCTATTTTTGCCCAATGGTCAAAGAGGTGTGGGCATATTTTATGGGTGTTTTAGAAATTCCAATTTCTAAGGAGTGCAGATCTTTTCGTGAGATGCTCCTTTATTGGTGGTTGAAACTTGAAAGCAGATAACTCAACATGTCAGGCATCATATCTTGGGAGGTTTACGCAAAGTTAGTTTGGGGAACAATAGAATCGACTGCTTCTGTTGAATCTCTATTTTTTCAAATCAAACTCTATTACAGAAATTGGTCCATAAATTTAAAAAATTGATCTGAGGAAAATCTGAGTTTACTGTATTTAAAGAAATCAAGAGAAAAGATCAGATAAATCAAGTGGATTCAACCTAAAAATCATCTTAAAACATAATATTGATCGATGCATCTTTCAATTCATACCTGGTATACTAATTGGAGTAGCAGTGATGCACAATAGGAATGGAGAGATGACTTTCGGCCTCAGTTTTCGTACAAATGCCGCCGATTCGGCACTGGAAGCAAAAATTCAAGCCTCATCTTTTGCTTTAAGGTGGGCAGTGGAGAAGGGATTCAGTGGCTTCAAGATAGAGACCGATCCCCTTCGTTTGGTTTTTCTTCATCAGGACAGGTTTTATGAAGGAAGATGGAATGTCTATCTGGAAGATATTTGGAAGCAAACTGGACCGCACACATAGATGGGGTTGGCTTATTTCCGGTTCAATTAGAGTTTTTTTTCTAAATTAATTTTTTTTTGGTAAATCTAAATTAATGTTAAAAATAAAATTATTTACGAAATTAAGGTCGGGTCAAAAGTATTTATCGTAAATACTGTTGGGGCAAACCATGGTTCACCAAAATCGTCAAACCAATCGGCGACTTTCAAAACGCCAAACTAGTTGGCGATTCTTTAGAGATAGGCCCAACGGATTGCAGCTCATGTGAATGTGGAGGAGACATGCGGTTAGTAGTATTCAGAAAATTTATTATTCTATAGTGTTAAAAACTTTTCATTTTTGCTCCAATCAAGGTTACGGCTGACAACGACTACCAAATCGGGGTTCCTGCTGATGGCAACTGCCAAATCGGGGATCTAACCAAAGTATCTTCGGAGGCCGAGACAACAACGGTGTCCACCTCTACATCTATCAACCATTTCTATTTCAGTTCGTCCGTAGCACCTGGATTTGCCATAGAGAAGGTGGAATACGAAGAGGGGATAAGGGGTGAGTGAAGTAAATGGAGAACCTGGAATACGAAAAGATGGAGCTATGCGGTGGGCGAAGTAAATGGAGAAGGTGGAATACGAAGAGGGGAAGATGGGTGAGTGAAGTAAATGGAGAAGATGGAATACGAAAAGATGGAGTTGCGCGGGTTGGTGAAGTAAATGTAGAATGTGGAATACGAAGAGGGGAAGAGGGATGAGGTGAAGTAAATGGAGAATGTGAAATACGAAAAGATGGAGTTGTGTGTTGGGAGAAGTAAATGATGATGGGTGGAGGATAGAAATTAAATGAGGGTAGGAAGGTCAATTGATGTGTATTTTATTTCCTAAAATATAAAGGGGACTTCTACTTAGAGACAACCCAAAAATGAAACAAATTCTTTTATTTAGGGACGGAGGGTACAAAATACAAAAAATGTGTGAACCTGTATTGTATTAAATAATAAAAATAAAATGAGGGTATTTGGCAATCAACAATGGTTTTAGCATATAGTCGAGTCAAACAACAGATTGATATTAACGGATTATGTTAACTGTTTTGACCAACCGCTATTATTAGCGATTGAAGTAGAACGTTTGGTAACTTAACTATTCATGATTAGTTGTTATGACGTAAAAAAACTATTAAGGATACATATAAAATAGATGTTTTTAATTCAGCTTTTTTTAGGAGTATTTTTTTATAAGCGCCTTAATCAATATGTTATATGAGTTCTATTGTTATTATTTTTAATATATATGTACATGCACAAACAACTACATATATCCTAAAATAGTACTCTCCATTATTTTTAACTATTACCCCCCTCCGGTCCCAATTGAAATTCACACTTTGACTTCACACAAATTAAGGAAATAAATTTGACTTTACTGTAGAGTACACTGTTGTGACACTGTTTGACACTGTTTTGCGCTATTTTGATGTTATTAATTTGACAAATAAGGAAGGGAGAAAAAGTATGAAGTTTATTTTGGATCTACCAAAAAGGAAAGTGTGAATTTCATTTGGGACCGGAGGGAGTAGTATATACATAAGTTCATGTATCTTAAGTATGGTTGGTGCATTACTTTTTGATTTGTTACTTTATCCAAAAGTTGTTTTTGTCTTGGTTGGCGTGTCACTCTCTTCCGTCCCAATGTAGGGGAACAGAGGGAGTATATTATGTTATTATGTGTGTGTGTGCATATCTGTATGTTTATATATGTATAGGATTATTTTGGAAATTAATGTTGAATTGTATTTTAAATCATGTGAAGTAAATATGTTCTTATGCACTGCTTATATTTTGCACTGCTTAGAGCATCTTCAATGCTAAAACGTTAACGGTGCATACGTGACATGAGAAATAACCAATTAAAAAACAATCGGTAGAATATCTCTCTCCTTATTTGAAGGACCTTACATAATTTTGGTAAGGTTTTCTTCACAATGTCAAACACAATGTCTAGATGTAGACATTGCGGTTGACATTGCAGACAAAAACTTACCAAAAATACATAAGACCGTGGAAAGAATGAGAGAAAGATGTCATAAAATTAATATTTTGTGTCTATATCTCTCATGCCACATGTGCACCGTGCACATTGTAGCATTGGAGATGCTCTTACTACCTGCCACATGTCTTAATAAAACATGTTTGATAACATGGGAAGTAAACATGTCCTAACAACCTACTTCATTTTTTTTACGTGGGTAGCTTCAAGATATAGAATCTCAATCTATATTTAACGGGAAAAGAGTCTCACTCTCTATCTGTCAAATTGGGATTATAATTCAGTTTACATCCTCCCAACGTACTGTCCGGTCGGGGTTGGGGGCCCTTAGGGATGGAGCGTCATCTTTTTTTGAATCTATATGGATAACTTTGATCTCTCTCAATTTTGCCGGTTTAGTTAATATAAAATTGAGTCAACTGATACTCCGTATATTGTTACTGACATTATGATTGAAACAGTTGAATCGTCTAAAACAATTAAAATATTCGACAACAAAAATTGAAACACATATATGTTACAAATAAAATTGAGATAAAATTATATGGAAAGTTTCCGAAATACAACTAAAACAGTTTGAAAATTCCAAAATAGATCTGCCATGTTTTTTATTCTCAAAATAATAGTAATTACTGCCAAGTTTAGAAAATAATGCCATGTTTGAAGTCTGAAACTGCCAAAACATAGCAATAATTAGTCTTGGGAATAAAAACATGACAGTCTTATTTTGGAATTTTCAAACATTTTTATCATATTTCGGGTAATATTCTCATTCAATAATATGTGGTTTTATTTAAACTTCTTGAATATCAATTACAATCTTGTTTTAGACTCTTGGACTTATCACTTTAATAAATCAAACATTTTAATTAATTTGAAAGTTTGATTTTAAATGCTAAATTACGTGATTTAAAAAAACTAAATTTGTATGGTTGATTTGATCGCAGTGTTAAAACGACAATTTACCTTTTTCTTATAATTTTGAGAAAATTGCTCTTCCTAAGACTAAATCATAGCACATTTATAAAAGTAGGACTTGGGTATGTTTCTTCCATATGTGAGATTAATTTACTTTATTAGGAAACTTTATTATTACTATCTAGTTTTGCCCCTAACTTATTAGGGAGTAATCTGCCTCCTCTTCCGTAGTTCTGCGTCGACAAACCCAGTTACCCAACCAAGCTTCTCTTTCGACCGTGGGAGCGGCTCCTTGGCAGAACAATCGGGAGCGGAATGCGGATCTGGAAAGCTGAATCAGATTAGGCGGGGAGGTGGCGTGGCGGCACTGCGGCAGATCTGAGCTGACGGCAAAAGAGACGCGCGATGGACGGCAAGGGTGAGGTACAGTGCAACTCCGGCGAAGATTATTCAGATCCCTTCTTCTGTTTCCCTGCTCCTCATCCTTCTCTCGTCTTCTTCTTTTCTCCTGTTGCCGCATTTTTTCTCTCACTTCTTCTTCTCATATTTAAATGCTCTGTTTTTTGTTATTATCAGAATTTATTGTTTATTTAATGTCTACTTATTGTTTATTTATTGTCTATTCAATGTCTGTTATTTTTTAAAAGTAATGGTATTGTGGTCAATGCAGGTGTAGTTGAGTCTTACGCTAATCTTCGGTCTTAGTTTTGGAAAATCCGTACGTTTTGCTCCTACTTGTTGAAATCTCTCTTTTTTTTATTTAAAAGAAGAATATTGATATATAGTATGTAGTACTTCATTAAGATGACGTCTTTTAGTATATGAGAGATTTCCCAAAATAGGAGTAAATGAAGTTTGAAATTCCAAAATATGACTACTTTGTTATTATTCCCGAAATGGGACTAACATGGCAGTATTTACTGTCATCTTGTAGCCGTGACTACCAAATAGTTGTAGTACAGTGCATTCAACATGACAGTATTTATTATAATTAATGACGATATTTTTTAATCATGACATTATTTTTATACATGACCGTAATAATTCCTATTTCGGAAAAAATACATACTAATCCTATTTTTGGAATTCCAAATGTCACTTGCTCTTATTTTGGGTAGTTTCCTTTACTATATTAGTATCCACGGGAAGGACCTTACTAGGCTTGTCTCACCCAAAACGAATCATTCGGTGGAGGGTTTATCCAAAATCATCAAGATTACGTCTTTTCTTGGGACCTCTACAAACTCTTTTTATGTATCGAAATGAACAGCTTTGTTTGCATTCCCATCTTGGCGGTCCCATATGTCCGTGCGGGGACAAGGAAATTCATTACACGACAGACAATTCTGAGTCCAAAAGGTGGAATCTCCCTCCTCATGATTTTTTTTCCCGTGCGCACCAGAGGCCCAACCTTATTTCAGGTTCTGTGACCTCCACACTACCGATAGGGGTTTCGAACCTTGGTCACTTGGTCCAAATTTCCCACCACTTAACCAACTGAGCTACCCGTGCGGGTACGACAGACAATTCTTGATGTCATATACTTACGCTCTTTTGGTTCGGTGATTATGTTTTCGGTTTATAAGGCTTATCAATAACTTTTTAATCAAACAAATAACTTTAGATTTCACACGCTGAATCGTGCAATAATAAGAAAAAGTAAAGTTATACTACCTCCGTCCCGCTATGATTATCCCATTTTACCTTATCGGTCCGTCCCACTAAGATTGTCCCATACCAAATTTGGTAAAGTTTGTGTGGCTCTAAATCATTGTTACTTTATTTTTACTTTATCAATTCAATATCAATCACATAAATAATTTTTATTGATTTGCGTGCCACTCCCTCTTGTCCCATTGTTAGCGGGACGGAGGGAGTAGTTACTTTTCTGGCTGAAATTACTATAGATGACCATTTTACGCTATTTTTTCATATAATTTTTTCTTTATTTTATTCATAAAATCTATTTAAAATATATTTTTTCATAAATAAGCAGAATCAGTCACTTCAACCACTTCAGCCAGAATCTCATAAAATTCAGCAGAATCCGCCGATTCGGCCGATTTCAGTGTCACTGTTGGACTGTACGTGTGTTTGTACATATACGTATGCATGCATGGCCTAGACTAGGTGAATAAATTAATTATGTAACTTTCGTATGTGTACATTCTTTTGTAGTTATCCGGCTCCAGCTTTTAGCAATATATTAGGAGAGGGATTCTCACCTGTATTATGTAAGTAGCGTAGCATAACCTGGAAGTATCAATTGTATATACACGGTTGTACGCCAATTGAATGGATACGAAAAATATTTCTATTAATCTACTTTAATTTGGCATCAGAGCGGAAATATACGATCCACGTATATACGTGTTTACGACGGACTCAACGACGCAATGGCGAACGATACAGCCAATACCCATGGCAACAGGGCCGACCCAGACATATAGAAGACCCTGTGCAAAATTGAAAATGAGGCCCTAAGTTTTTTTTATCATTATATAATCATTATTATATTATTACTTTCACCGTTTTTAAATCATAGTGTCCTTAGGTTTTTTGTGGGTTTTAAGATGAAAATAGTAGGCCCTAAAGGTAAATGAAAAATAGAAAAGAGAATAAATTAAGAAAAGTAAAGTAATGACAAAGTATGAAAAAGAAAGTAGTTACAAGCTCGTTCCAAACTGCACGGGGGTTTTGTGCTAAATAATGTAATTAGGTCTTGTGAAATAAAGAAATCACACAATTGTAATTAACAATTGTACTTTAATTACATAAAAATATTACTATTTAATGTTTGTATTTAAAAAAAATAATAATATAGGAATTTTTAATCAAATAAATAAAGATTTATTATATCATATAGACTATATTTAAATTTTTGGGCCTTCTGAAATTGAGAGGCCTTGTGCGATTGCACTTCTTGCACGTCCTCATCTACGGCCCTGCATGGCAACCGAACAAACGAACCGGTGAGAAGGAAAATCAATGATCCTTCATCGCCATATTATATGGCAAGCTCCGATTTCCCGAGTATCAACATTTGCAGCATCACTCTCAAAGGTGAGAAGGAAAATCAATGATCCTTCATCGCCATATTATATGGCAAGCTCCGATTTCCCGAGTATCAACATATTGCTGCTTCACATGAATGGGAGATCCATCAAATGGATGTAGATAATGCTTTTCTCCATGGTGATCTCCATGAAGAGGTGTGTATGCATTTGCCCCCAAGATATTCCACTTCTAAACCTGGATAGGTGTGCAAATTACTTCACTCACTTTATGGATTGCGTCAGGCACCACGTTGTTGCTTTTCCAAGTTAACCACTTCACTCCTCTCAAACGGTTTTAGTCAGTCTCACCGTGGAGGACATATTTTATGTATACTGATTTATGTTGATGATTTACTTATTATTGGGTCTGACCCACAATGATTTCATTTTTAAAAAATATTTGGCTCATGCATTCCCTGTTAAGGATTTGGGACACATGAAATACTTTATAGGTCTGGAAGTTGCACAGGGAGAGAAGGAAATTTTTCTATGTCAACGCAAATATGTTTTGGATATTCTTGATGAGACAGGTTTGACTCGGGCCAAGCCTGCTACGTTTCCTATGCCACAAAACCATGGTTTACAATCTGTCGAGGGATCATTCTCCTCAGAACCAGATCGATATCGCCGGTTGGTTGGTAAACTTATCTATCTTACTCTTACACGGCCAGATATCACTTATTTTGTACATATTCTTTCCCAGTTTATGCAAGCTCCTCGATTTGTGCACTGGGACGCTGTTATCTGGGTTCTTGGCTACCTAAAAGGCCATCCTGGCCAGGGGATTATCCTCGGACGACACTCACCCCTCTCTCTCTTGTGGGTTACTGTGATTCTGATTGGACCAGTTGTCCCAACACACGGCGTTCCGTTACCGGCTATTTTGTCACACTTGGGGGCTCTCTTGTCTCTTGGCAGACTAAGAAGCAAGTTACGGTGTCTCGTTCATCCGCGGAAGCTGAATACAGATTCATGGCTACTCTTACATGTGAACTTCTTTGGCTCAAAAGTCTCTCCTCCTCCTTGTGTATCAAACTGACACCCATACAGGTTTTGTGTGATAATAAAGCCGTTATTCATATTGCTTCTAATCACGTGTTTCATGAACACACTAAACACATTGAGCTGGATTGACACTTCATTCGTGATCATGTGCGTTCCGGTGTTATCATACTTTCCTATACTTCGACTACGGAACAACTTGCAAATTTACTCACTAAAGCTCTTGGTGCATCTCAGTTTCATTATCTTCTTGCCAAGATGGGCATTCAAGACCCCCATGCTCCATCTCTAGGGGGTGTTGGACTGTACGTGGGTTTGTACATATACGTACGCATGCATGGCCTAGACCAGGTGAATAAATTAATTATGTAACATTTGTTTGTGTACATTATTTTGTAGTTATCCGGCTCCAGCTGTTAGCAATATATTAGGAGAAGGATTCTCACCTATATTACGTAAGTAACGTAGCATAACCGGGAAGTATCAATTGTATATATACGGATGTACGCCCAATTGAATGGATACGGAAAATACTTCTATTAATCTACTTCTTTAATTGTTACCAAACGGACTCTTAGTGATGAAGTAGTCTGTTTAACGGAACCATTTCTAGATTAACTGATTGAGCCAATTTAAGTATAGATACTATCAAATAGTCTCTATATAAATCAACATTTTGTCCCCGTTCATATAATCAAGGCTTTCAAAAGGGTTCTAAGGGTGTTTTGAATTGATTCTGCTTCTAATTCTTTTTAAAAACAGAAGCAGAATCGGAGACGGCTTCTTAGAAGCGGGTCTCCCACAACTTCTAAAGAATTGTTTCTAGAAGTAATTTTCGAGCACTCAGAAATACGTACTTCTACTATTTGGGAGAACATAAACAATTTAAATAAACAGATCCAAACACCCCTGTGTAGACTTCTTTACTTCTATATACATATACTCTGCATTTTTTACTAATGAAAATCTCCACACATGGCCCACCACGCCCAGTGGGGTACGCTAAGCATTTCTAAAAAAAAGGATGACACCCCATCCCTGAGGGCCCCCCAACCCCGACAGGACAGTACGTTGGGAGCATTTCTACAACAGTGATTGAATTTGGATTCTTATAATATCTCCAAAAGTTCCCGAGTCTTAATTTTATATAAGTAAATTAATAATTAAAAAGTAACAATCATAACTATATGACTAAAACAAATGCAGTTGGTAAAAATATGAAATTTTACACTAGGGACGTACTATAATGCGGAGGAGTTATAAGCCAGTAATCAGGATCATGTGATTCAATTTTACACTATTATGATCATGACAATACCATAATAATAAATTTAATAACATGGATCTTTAAATCTATAAGATAGTTTCATTAATATTTAAAAGAATTCATTGTGAGAGATAATTCTGTGTCTAGGACTAAACTAAGTTTTAATTGCACCAATAGGACTGACATATTCCGTAGGACTAAAAGGAGACGCATTGCCAAAATGACCCTTAATGAACTAATCTTTATTAATAATACAAAATAACATAATAATAAAATTATGAGAGCCCCAACACCACAATAATCCATGCACCACATCCACAGCGCCACAGCCACCGCCGCCGCCACAGGTTCCAGCGGCCATTCCATCTGTGACCTCATCTAGCCTTGTTGTCGGTTGCCGCCATATCCGGCGTCATCGCCGCCACCTCCGACGATGCCTCCTCCGATGATGATGATGCCGCCTCCTCCTCCGACGATGCCGCCGCTTCATCCAACACCATTGTGCCTCATGTGCGTGAACAGTGCGCCCTTTGGCGGCGACGGCGCCTCCGGTGAGCCAATCACTTTAGATCTCAGATCTGGTCTTGGATCTTGTATGACTACCACTCAAGTGTCATCTTGTGGTTCTAAAGTCATCTTAATGATATTATTTCCATCCTGACAAAAATAAGATGACACTTTCGAATTAAAACACATGGCACTAATGTTTTACAAAAGGAGCATTATTGTCATCTTCGTAATGTTAATGCCAAAAAATGGCATTCGTTCTTGAAGTGACTTTTCATATTCAAAGTAATAACATATATTGTAAAGGCAATCCCATAAAAATAAATAGTTCTGAAATTAATTTTCAATAGATTATATTTAATAGAGAAAATAATAACATTTATGTCAATTTCATATTAAAAAGTAATAAAAAAACAATAAATATAAAAATAAATAAAAAATCTTGAAATAAATAAAACTAAAAATTTGACAAATAACAAAATCAGAGATGAAGGAGAAGGAGGAGATTCAACCATACCTGGTTGCCGTCCACCGGTGGCCACTCACCATTCACCGCCGCTCACCGTCCTCGCCGCTCACTGATGGCCGAAAATGAAGAGAAAATCCATGTCCATGTCCATATCACTGAAAATCGTCAATGATGAAGAAAATCAAGATTGATAGAATGACATTAAAGGTATTATAGAAGAGAAGAGAAAAAAATGGAGGCATGAGACCTGGAGTTGTGATGACAGATGCAAGAGAAGAGATGAGGAAGAAGATAGGGGATGAAGAAGGAGAGAGGTGATGAGGAAGGAGAGAGGGAGATGTGCGTGGGATTGGGGGGGAGAGGGGAGACATGCGTACAAATGGGCAGAGAAGGGTAGAACTGGAAGACCATCTAATTTAGTCCTATTTGTGGAATAAATTAAAGAGAAGTCCTATTTTGAAATTTTTCCAATAATTTACTCCTATTCAGGGCAAATACTTATTCATTGTTTCAACTTGAGAGTGACTAAAAGTCCTTAAGAGTCTTTGATTATTAACTACTCCTACTAGTCTACTACAATATCGGTTTTCCTTAGCTTGAATATGGGCATCCAAGGGGACAATTTTATCACAAACTATTTCTTTTGAATTTGCTTCTTCAAATATTTATAGATCTGAATCTGAACGTGAAAACAATATGTTGTATTCAACCATTACATGTGCAATTGTAGTGCATAGTAGTCTCGATATACGACCGTTAGGGTGTGATGATAATTGATAATTACATGTAGAAAACGATATGATGGTATATACGAAGTAATTTATGACTTAACCAACTATGGAGTAGTGTCTCTTTCCTCCTTGACTTTGTCAACTTTTTTTATTTTTTTTTTCCAAAATTTTTGTCACGCTCTTTTTGAACTAATGAATTTGTAGTTGGTTATGTTCATTTTTCTCTCTTCTGTACGAATTTCAATCAGATGTTTCATTTTTTAATTTCACACTGAACATAAAATTGAAAAAGTTGAACGTGGTGGAGGTAATATTACACACTAGTAGTTTCTTTGCCGACCTGATTTAATTTATGTGAAATATCACCCCCCTTATGATGGATACACGGATCAATAGATGCCGCGTTATGTTTACTGATCGATACTTTTATCCTTAAACTATTCAATATTCTCACACAAGAGTATATGAATTGAATTGTGTGAGTAGAAGATAGTTGAATGAGTAGTGTAGAACTAGAAAGGTTGAAAAAGACCGATACGAAAACAGAAAAGGTAGTTAAGAGTATGAAAACTTAATTTTGAACGAGAAATTGCCTATGAACGCCATAAATCCGAACAGTGAAGCAAAATATTCAACCTTAAATCATTATAATATAATTTAAACATACGATTTCAATATAAAAAAATGCAATCAAAACCTAAATGGACATTAACAAAAAGGAGAGAGATTGTTACATAAGGAGTTAAGGTTTGGAGCCATTACTGGAAGAGCAAACGGATGTGCACTAGGCCGTAGGAGTTGAGTTGGTACGTGGCTGAGGGGAGTGCAGAAGAAAGAAAGGAAAGCGAGTGAGAAGAAGAGAAATATGGAGTAAGAGAAGGAAGAAAATAAAAGAAAGGCGGAGAAGTGAGTGTACATGAAGAGGCCGGAGAGAAGAGGGTAGGAGAAAATTAAATAGAGAAGGTGGCGAATAGGATGATTAGGATAAGGTTGATGAGCAAGATGTTATGGTGGTTGATATTGTTAATACTTTTACATTCAGGGAGCAACCTCTTTTGATATAAAACACAATTTATTTCATACAACAAGCAATGTGTAGCATTTTTTTCCACTAATTTTCTTGTAAGATAATAAAAGAGGTCTGCACTTTTTATGCTAGAACCAATTATTTTGGAGTATCATCTTACACGAGAGTGGTCAATAGTCATCTTTATATGCAATTTACTTAATATCTTATTACACTACTTGATATGTTTTTGTTTGTGTGTGTAGTTTATCTGTAGAGATTATAGTCTTGTTTGCATACTAACTACAAGGATGGTGTCATTAACTCGACATTTCTATACCATTCCTTTAGCCTCAAGGAAGTAAAGGGCAAGATGATGATACCTAAAGTCAATGAAAGGCTACATATATCCATTCATAGTTTCTTAGAACTCTAGCTCCTAAAGTTTTTTTTTTTGTTTTATGTGGTGGGATTCTCAATTTTTATCTGTTTTAGATTATTCCATTCTTATTAATAAATTATTATTGTATATGCTAGAAGAGAAGACAAAACATTGCATGCTAATCGTTTGAAAGAATGTTAGCATTTTCAGGGTTGTAAAGTTATGTACTCCATATAATTTTGGCATTAAATACTTCATTCTGAAAGATAATGTGCTAATAATGTATTGTGTGTGTGTAGTTTTTTAAGTAGCTTGTGTTTTGTGTTTGAGTTGTAACTTGTAAAGTTCGAAGTACTGTCCTCTAAATGGTTGTTGATATGAAGATTTTGGGTTTCATCCTAAAAGGTTAACCTGTTAAGGTTCCATCCTAAAAGATTTTGGCTTTATACAGGGTACAGATAGGCGGATTTACGCATCTGAGCACCCGGAAGGCAGATTGAAAGCGAGGAAAGTCTCCGAGTTCAATTGCTTTTGTCCTGCTGAGCGGAATGGTAAGAAGGGAGTGACCTTGAGGGGGCAATAATGCTTCCTATCCAGCCGACCGGAAAATCGGAAGCATTATAGCCTATTTTTATTTATAGAGGAACGGAGTAGCTCCCTTCCCCCGAATCACTACTAAATGGTGGCGTTCAATCTTTTCGAAATTTCTTCTCCTCACCTGATGGTCGATTGGCCTGACACACTTCCGTGTACTAGCGAAAGCGTTACGACTATTTGGTGGAGATCATATTCACGCGCAATTGGTGTGAGACAGCTTAATACGCCCCCACAAGATGGTGGCTCGTTGGAGGAGATCAATCTTGTTGTCCGTGTGCTCATTGTTGAGACTTACCGGGATCTAATTACTCGTTGGAGCTTAATTTGCTCTGATACCATATTAAGACTTTGGGTTCCATCCTAAAAGGTCAACCTGTTAGGAGGAGTAATCGAAGGCTTTATATGTTGATTTGTATTTCTATACGCAACCGGCGTGGGACAACATAATAGTGTTGGGTGTGTTTCGAAAAAAACGAAGAAATATTAATTAAATAAAATTAATTAATAAACAAAATAGCTAAAAGAAAACAGAAAATAAGATGGAGCAGATTTTAGCCAGAGCTCGTGCTACGCACGATGTCCTTAAAACGTATTCGTCGCCTCCCACGGTGCTGGGAGCGTTGCAACGACCGTTTCCCAGGATACGGTGGCTAACGAACGAAAGTTCCGGCGAACTGGAACACAGTAAGAACACTTAGGAAATTTGGGAGTAGCTGGAAGTGTTTTTCGCTCAAGAAAACGTGAGGAATGTATTGTGTGTTGTCAAAACCGTGTGTTTGTTGCAAAGCACTTGCCAGCTATTTATAGGAGGATTTGTTGTGTTTTAAATGGGGTGTTAATGGACCTGAACGTTGGACATCAATGACCAGTCCGTTGGGCATTGAATCGTCCATAAACTGTCCATTTAACGCAGCATTAAAAGAGAAGAACGTTGGGCATTAACTTTCGTAACGATAGAATTGCGCGACAGAAGACCCCAACAGAATACCCCCTGTGATGGGTTCTGCCCGAAGCCAAGAGAACTTAACCGTATCTCTTGAGAGATAGATTTTTGGACGGCATTCGTGTCCGCAGGTCGCCCGCGCACACGAGTCGCGGTTTTTCTTCTCCGTTTCGGGATTTGATCGGCACCCCCCTGCGCGTAAGAGAGAGCTTTTACCCTTAGGAATCTTATCTCCTTAAAAGAGGCTTCCCTTTATAAGGGGGTGAAAATCCCTTGAGTTTTTCGGTGTGGGATAAAACACTCTAGAAACTCATCATTTTCCTAGTTTTTCCATTTCAACGAGTGAACTTCGAGAATCAATTTCTCATTCACCCGTTATCCGTTTTGAGTGTATCACATATCGAATTGTATCCCTTAACAAGGACAATCCGAAACCACTTTGACCCGACCCAAATCGAAAGTGGACCCCACTCAAATAATTGCCCCAAAATGACCATTTAATGCAATTTTTAACACATTTTTCCAACAAATAGTTGATGTGTTAGTGTTTAGATTTAGAGTATGTTGAATTGCCATGCTTAAAGATAGGGAAATATTATGTTTTAGATGGGGCCTTTTTGTATTAGCAATTTGGTATTCAAAACCACATTTACTGTGTGTAACACCCCCATTTTTCCCGCCCAAAATAATACTTGAAATAAAAATATATTGATAACAACCTTGATTTATTCCTTAAAAATAGATAGAGTTCTGCAACGGAAATAACGTTAATGGAAAAAGGGTGTGTTACCGCTACACCCAGTCCTCAACTTGGCTGGATGTTAAGGCTATCCACCATGAGTTCAACCGAATTAAAATTTTAAATTCTAAATTTAATAACATAATTTAAACTAAGTGAAGACTACACTTAAACCTTCTAAAGCGCTCTCAAGGCTCGTCAAGCATCATGAACTTCATATTCATCATTACCTGCACAAATAAAGTACAGAGAACAAAACAAAGAAAAGGAGACAAAAATTAGCTTTAGAGCTAAGTAAGTACTACCCAACCCCGTAAAATAATCAGGTTTGTCAAAAATAGTTTTTCATATAATACTATATATAAAAAACTCACACCACCAAAATTCTTTTCTAATAAAAAACATCATTCCTCAACGTTATAATCTCAAATACCCGTTTAGTAAAAAAACAATACTTATACGCTCCTAACCATTAATATCTCAAATAAAAGTATCACTTTTCAAAATATAACTTTTGTAGCTAAAAATATCACCATTCCAAAATCAATGTCACTCTTAGATTCTTTTGAGATGGGCGAAACTCAAGGTTCCTCGAGCCCAATGAATCGTTGTTGTGTGCGACTCATCCCGGAATTCCGGCTCCTACTGACCACCAATTGGAAACTGAACTTCACCCTTAAGTGTGCACACCCCCTAAAATGGATTCCAAGCCCTCCGAGTAGTAAGAAGTCCAAGTAGTTCGAACAACGTTCCCCTACCTCACAATGGGTTAGATACCCGGGTGATTAGAAACCACTACCGCGGCCACCAAAGAACTTTTAAAGTTCTCAAAAGAAATACCGGGAATCTCCCGCCACCAATATTTACCAGGATTTCTCCCGCCACCAATAATAATCATAAACCTAAACTAAACCCGCGGTATATAGCTCTAACCACCCACACCTCGTGTTTGTCTCGAGATGTCAATAATCAATATAAAAACATTATTCATTCTTGGAAAATCATTTCTCTATACATAGTCTTCCAAAATATCCATTTAATGGATACGCCCACCAAAAATCCACATTCATAAATACTCCAAAATTCTTTTACTTAAAAATTCACTCCAAAGTCATACTAGGGATTAAATCCCAAAATATATCTCCAATATTTCTCAAATTCGTAGTCACCCTAAACAGTACACATTCAAAATTCACACTCAATCACAGAACGCATAATAAGCATATAATACGAGGGAACAAGTTTGGATTGGCAGAGAAACTTACCTTAAGTCCTGATGCTCCTAATTCTCTTCCTCAATTCCGATCTCTAAGTGATCACCTTTTTAATTAAGATGATATAATTAGTCACTTATTCTTTTTAAATAATTTATCCGATATTCCCCTTTTTATCTTATTATCCGAATTTATTAATATAAAATAAATTAGCTATTCGGGTTTATTTTATCCCTTAATCACTTTTTATTAATCAAATCACTTTACTACTTCAGCCCAAATTTCTATTATTTGAATACTATAATTTATATTATAATAACCGAAATGTATTTAACTAATCCACTTTTTAATTTATTAATCATCATTAATTTATTCTACCTATAAAACATCCAATTAATTTACTATATTTTAATATTGTTAAAATATACGGATTATGAAAATATTCAAATTACTTCAATTATAGCTTATTACAAATATGTTCGTACTTAATAACTATCTCATATGATAGTATTATTTAAGCTATTTAAACTAATTCGATAATTAATACAATAATCTTTTATTAATTTTAATCAAGTCCGACAATAAAAGGTATTAAATAATTAACTAATCTCAGTTAAATAATTATTTTGAACCCCCTAAAAGGTATTAAATAATTAACTAATCTTGTCTGTTACATTGCACATATGTATTAGCCACGGCATGTTCATGTGCATTTGCCTTTATTAGTTTTAGTACTACTTCGTATATTATTGGTATGTTAGGCATTGTTATGTATGGTATCCATTATTATTATTTTTAAAAAGTCTAACTCTTTTTGTATTATTGTATGGTATTTTTATACGCATTTTATTTACTCGTACCTTCAAATTTAGATATCACTTTTATTATTTATGTCATATGTATAGTTATCACTTGTTATAAAAATGTTATTTTTATTATTGAAACATTTTTACGTGACTAAAAATGTCACCAATGTTACAATTTTATCTTCTTCACTTAATTATTACAACGTCGCTTTCGTAACACTTTATTAGACTAATAAACTTATTTATTTTATTTATTTATTTTTTTCTTTTTTTTCTTTTTCTTTTCTTTTTGGAGTGTCACACTGTGTATGGATTCCAAAAGTACTGCCATTAAGGCTTTATGTGACCATGCTTGTATGGGAGCTGAAATGTTGGGGTTGTTTAAACTGCTCAAAGAATGACCAAAGCAATTTGGTGAAGCAAAATCGAGTTGGAATCGGAGCCAATACTCCAGTTAAGCGCTCTATTGTTATTGAAATTCGGACACTTTTTAACATTCTAAATGTCTTTAGAAAACGTAAGAAGTTGCTAAACATCTCGCATAAAATGAGGCTCTTAAATGTCACTCCCTTTGTCATGAGTGCGTGTACCGTGCAACCGGTATACGGTGAGCACCGCGGGACGGATCTATATTATTTTTTTTCCTTTTGCTTTTAAAAAATGGTAATAACTTTTTTATTTTTGATCCGATTTTTATAAAATTTATATCAACATTTTTTATTTTTCATGATCTTTCAAATAAGACCAATATTGTCTATGTAATTTTAACATATAAACATTTGTGTGTGAAATATGTAACTTTAAGTGTCACAATATGTAATTCACGTTCAGTCAAGTCAAATGCAACTCGTGTGTATAAATATGTATCTCTACGTGTAACAATATGTAACTTTACGTAAAAAAATATGTAACTCGCATTCAGACAGGTCACATGCAACTCGTGTGTATAAATATGTAACTCGCGTGTATAAATATGTAACTTTACGTGTAAAAATATGTAACTTTACGTGTAGATATGTGTAAGTCGCGTTCAGACATGTCAAATGCAACTCGTGTGTATATATATATATATGTAACTCGCTTATAAAAAGATGTAACTTGCATATAAAAAGATGTAACTTGCTTATAAAAAGATGTAACTTGCTTATAAAAAGATGTAACTCACTCATAAAAAGATGTAACTCAATGTATTATCAAATGTAACTGAGTCCACTCATCCACTCCCAAACAAATTCGATCTTCTATTTCACAAACCTATCATCTCCCAAACAGATTCGATTTTTCTTATAATCCAATACTCATTAATATAATAGTTCGATAATTTCTTAAAATTACATACACAATATTGGTCTCATTTGAAAGATCATGAAAAATAAAAAATGTTGATATAAATTTTATAAAAATCGGATCAAAAATAAAAAAGTTATTATCATTTTTAACATCAAAAGCAAAAAAAAAAGAAAAACACTGCGTCATTTTTGCAACCGGGCGCACCATACTCATGGTGCGCCGGTTGCACCATATAATTTGCCCTTTGTCATATACAAAAGTTCTCATTTTTTTAGGATGTACGTTCCGGTCAAAAGTTTTCATTTCCATTTTTGGAAACAATATAAAAAATGACAACTTAATCATCACACATTAAAAGTAATATGTCAATAACATCATAGTCATCATCAATAACTCCATTATATCATATACTCATCAAAATTATTTCTCAAAATTACTCGAATTGATATATTTAATCATTGTGTAAATAACTGTGTCATTTTGTAATGAAAACTTTTGAACGAGATAGAGGTAGTATTATAAAAAGAAAAGAATTATAGAACGTCTATAAACTAATGAATGAATCTTGATACGTGTAAATATCTTAAGTTAACTAATATCTTTGACAGGAAATGATTGTTGGACGTCTCTAAGTATAATATAAACATGTCTTAAGCATCTTAAGAAACTATGGGCTAAGCATAGTTAACCTGCCCCATGCCACAATGAGAGAACATTAATGTTTAATAAACATAAAAAAATATTCATATGCTGGAGCAACAATAAAAAAACACTCTTTGGGTAGATAACACAACATATACAATTTATGTCTTGGAGTTCAAATTTCAAATACTCTTAAAATTTATACTCGGACACATTTTGGGCGTATGAAATAATGGTCCACGCGAAATATTTTAATTACTTTGTTTATCTCATACTTATAATACTAATTACTTCCTTAGGGATTCATAAACCAATAGGACTTATAAACTTAAAAAAATAGTTATATTTGTTACTTGCGAATTAAGTGCTTATATATGGTGCTTCTATTTATCTATGTTATGGTATGCGACTTTTCATATTTTTTACATTATATTGTACCGGTGAAAGGTCTAGCATTACACAACTTAAACACATGAAAATTTATTTATTTTATAATTCTTCATTTAGTTTTTTAGAAAATGAAAATATAAGAACATAAATGTGCAAATTAGACAATTTGTATCTAAATAGCATGACTATATATTCTATACAAACTAATTGTTAGGTATTTAATTTATTTTTTGGAAATCTTGTGAATTTTTTTATTTCTTTCTAAAAACATTGGGTGCTCAGAACAAAAAAAATTAACACTTCATTTACCATTAAATAAACAATGCATCAAGTAAAATAAAAGAATACATTCGACGGAAGGGGTATTTTTTAAAATCCCACAACATCCGACTATAGATAACACAAGTATCAATGCAAGGTTCGTCTTGTTTGTATTACGCATTGTGCATTTTTTTTTTAGAATTATATCTAGTTGTAAATATGCAACTATAGATAACACAAGTATCAATGCAAGGTTCGTCTTGTTTGTATTACGCATTGTGCATTTTTTTTTTAGAATTATAATAATAGGATTTAGAATCCATATCAAAAAATTAATTTTGGGGTGAGTATATATGCAATAATTTAATTTTTACAAAAAATTATCAATTTTTATAAAATGAATACATGTGGTTGTGTGTTCATAATTTTCTAATTTAAGTGCCAAATTAGTTGAATCTCTTTAATCTTTTCAATTCCACCATACATGTTTTCAAGTTATTACAAACTCCTCAAATGTGCTAAATTAGACTTAAATAATAAGTGCTAGTTAAATACACATA